CGGCTATGGTTGACGCTGGGTGCTATATAATCCTTAGTAGGTGGTGGTTGATGCATGACAACTACCTTATCGGTGTTCATGTTTATTTCGAAGTTAGTAGAACGAACATTCGGTTTTGTACCAAAGGCTGTGCAATTTCCATAATGACGGACATACTACTAAGTCTGAATAGCCTAACGTCACCGTTACAGTTAATTTTGACTCCAGGGCGGGGGGGGCTCGGCATGATATGCGTTCCTCAGCAGTCTGTAAAATCCGAGAATGTGTGGAAAGGCAAGTACGCAACCCTGTTTTCCTGTGGTCATGGTGAGCGTTTCCAAGGGTGATCAGTTGTCCGAAACGCGCGTGAGCATGCGGTTGGAGAGCAGTATTACTAACCCACCATGACATACATATTTCATTTAAATTTTCTATAGTCTGTCTTGGTTAACGGTGTCAAAAACATTTCTGTGACGTGGAGAGATGGAGCCTCATATCCTAGTACTTTTTTCTGTAGTAGTTGTTGTACTGCTTGAATATTCGGAACCCCACAAAGGCGTGCGGTCATGCGGATATGGCAAAATAATTTGCCAGCAATCATGAGGAGAGAAATCTTACGATGACTGTTGCATAGTTGTTACTCTTTTTGACTGTATGGGTTGGAAATGCTGTCCTGCATGATTAGTCTTAGTCTCTTTGTCTACTCGACCCACAAAGGCAAGTTGTTGCAACCCTAAGAGCAACCACATTCATGTACCGATATTGAGGTCGAGAGCCCGGAGCCCTGCGGTCTGAGCATCGAAATCACTGTTCTGAACAGGTTCCACAGTTGGGTTTTACTTGACAAAATCTGCAGGTGGCTGTCTTGCAGACCGATGATAGGGGATTGAGGACGTTTCTGAAGTGGTCGCCATGATGCGTTTACCTTTATAGTTGTATATTGTCCTGGTGGCTATAAATTTCTTCGTTTTAGCTTGGTCAACACATTCTAGGATTTCGATTGAACTTAAAGTCGGACAGTGGTTGAACATCTCGTATATTTACTGTTGCAGCAGGTGCATGCTCCAGGAAAACATACTTTTATTTAAACCGTTAGGCGTACCGAAAGGGTCTTGTGAAGATGGTCTTTCGCAGACAGCGAGTGCTGCGGTCCTTCTTTGCTATCGTTGCACCAGCCCTGGGGGATCCGAGATCCTTCTCATCTGTTTTTTTATATCTCCATCCTCCAGGAAATCAAATTTTTTTCCAACGAGTTTATTCTGCCGGCGGTATTGCCTCCGATTAGTATGGTCTAATACCGCAGGGCTCGGTTTCTCCGGTGAAGTCTTCCCTCAATATACTCTTTATGGTTGGATTCACAGTTCCACTTTCTAAACAACAAGACCACCCACAAATCATTACCCCACACTGGCCGCGTTAAAAACGAATAAACGAAGTCACAGCTCGTGACAGGATTACGCAGTCTAGTAGTTCTCGGTCAACTGAGCACATGATCTTCTTGTGACTGGTGATTTGAACGACGGTTTTTAGTGGAGGTTATCTTCTGTACAGGTTCTCAAAGTTGGCAGTCGCTGTTGTGGGTGTTAGTAACCCCGAGAAGATCCAGCAGTCCCCTCCAGGTGACGTGGCCTCTATTTTGACGATAGGTAGGAGTGGTACACAAGTAGCATCAAGTCCAAAAATTCTTTTGGTGAAATCGTAAACCAAGACGTTTTGAAATGTCACTCAAACACAACAGCGCGC